GGGGGTACCATATTGGGTAAGGAAGGTCCAACTCAAGTTTTTCTCATGAATTTGCTTTTGTTGGTGAGTTGAAAGTTCTTAAGTCTGGCGACTGTAGGCACTCAAGGGTGTGGCCTAATGGTCAATGAAGTAGGTGCAAACCTCGGAATCGGTATTCAAACCCAGCTGACACATAAAGCACTACGTGATTTCTTCCCATCTACCTAAGCCCTTAGGACAGAGTCACCAGGTACATGTGTAGGTGGAAGGTAGCAGGTACCGAGTGGAATAGTCCAGGTGCGCGCACGTTGGTTCAGGCACCATCGTTATTAGGAAAAAGATCTAGCGAGGTTTTTTAAGTGGAAAAAACAGAAAATGGAGTAGAAGCAGGTCGAAGGGTCTCATTTTTTAATTTTTTTCTCCGAAGATGTACGTTTCTGCAGGGAAAAAAAGTAAATTTTTTATTCCTCATTGCGAGATTGGTGGTGAAGGAAGTTATTGTACGGAACTGGGCTCTATTTTAAGTAAACTGTCTAGTTGTGCGTCTCAGAGATTTTCGGGAAGGTACTTTCATAATGGAAATTAGATTGTTGGGATGGTCTTGGTGACACCATAACAGAATAAAGGTACAAACTTACCTGGGAAAAATAAAAGCACAGATAAGGTGCACAGTTATAGTGTTACAATTCGAAATCTTTTGGGCATTAAATTGCGACGAGACAATCATCTAGCCCAAACAACAGGGAGGCGAGACAAGCCATAGTCGTCTCGTTTTAGCTATGCTAATCCAGAGTCTTAACGACTTGGCACTACTTGATTCTCCATGTTATCTTATGTCAATGACGTGGCTTAATTGGCTTTTCATGGTTGTATTACAAAGGTGACTGCTTTATTTGACTGATTCTATCATTTATAACTGCTCCTTCGGTTTCTGAACCTTTTTATGAGTCTGTTTCGGGATATTGTTGATGAAATATTGATCTTCAGCATCTTTAATTGACAAATATGAGAGATGATAACATACATATAGCAACAGATCGTTTAAACTATCTCTCAAGTTCTCACTGAGGTCGTATTAGTCTCTTTTCTGCTTCACATATGTGTTGTCATATAGCAAGTCTGTCTTGTCAGAAGAATCTGTTTTAATGGGTTGTTTATTGGTTTCGTAAATCTTTTAGCACCGGGAAATATGCCTTCATGGTGGGGAAAGTCAACTTCGAAGGAAGCAAAGAAGAAAGTGACCAAAGAAAGTTTTATTGATACATTGCATCGCAAATTTAAAAGTCCAAGTGAAGCTAAGTCTCCAAGTAAATCAGGAGGATCTCGAAGACATAGCAGTGACATTGCTTTTGAGAAGGGTTCTCAGTCCCAAGCACAGTCAAGGTCGTCATCACCTTCCAAGCATGTCTTGAGATGTCAAAGCTTTGCTGAAAGTGCTCTAGCCCAGCCACTTCCACTTCCAGGTCTGCCAACAGCAAGCGTAATCCGGACAGACTCTGGACTCAGTCAATCAGCAAGACCCAGAACAGAGAAGGGCTCAAAGCCATCCCTGTTTCTGCCTCTCTCAAAGCCTGCATGCATCAGGCACAGACTGGACCCTGCAGATGCCGATGGAGAGCTTGTTTTTGCATCAGTTTCAAGTGAGTGCTCTATTGAGAGTGATGATCCGAGTGATTCACGTCAACGTAGTCCACTAGCATCTGATTTTGAAACTGGCAACCGGGCTGCCTTGGGTAGCCCTTACAGGTAAACAAATGATGAATGTCACTTAAATGAAATGTATTCACAAATGAGTTTTATTTAATTTTGTTCCTTATTTGAAACAATTATTGCTTTAACTTTTTAGTTTGCTGTTTTCTTTAACTACGTCACCCTGGTTGACATAGTTTCTTTTTCTTTTTTGGTTTCAAAGTTTGCCTGTTAAGGATCAGTCTGCTGTTGGACAAATAAGCACAAAAGACACAACTGAACCAGTTAATCTTTCTCCCAGTAGACGTGTCTCCTCTCGATCTCCTAAGAGACGACCACTAAATAGCCACTTGCCCAGTATACAGATCCCTTCTCATGGTGGCCTCTTCAGTGCTCCTGTTAGTTCTATATCAAGTCCTTCTAGAAGCCCAATGAGAGCTGCTGGCTGCGAGCAAATTACTAGTTCTACTTTGTGGGCAGGAAAGACTTATCCGGATCTTCCTTTACTTGGATCTGGCCATTGTTCAAGCCCAGGGTCTGGTCAGAATTCTGGACATAATTCCATGGGAGGAGATATGGCAGCGCAACTGTTTTGGCAGCCTAGTAGAGGGAGCCCAGAGTACTCTCCAATTCCTAGTCCCAGGATGACAAGTCCTGGACCTAGCTCAAGAATTCACAGTGGCGCTGTCACACCAATTCATCCTAGGGCTGGAGGTGGAGCATCTGAACTGCAGACTAGTTGGCTTGATGATGCAAAATCAGAAAGTCATCCTTTGCCCCGTCCTCCTATAACAATTTCCAACACTTCACCCTTTTCTCATTCCAATTCAGTTGCAACATCTCCCTCAGTGCCACGAAGCCCTGGCAGAGCAGATAATCTTTCTAGCCCTGGATCTCGCTGGAAAAAGGGGAAGTTGCTTGGTAGAGGCACATTTGGACACGTTTATGTTGGTTTTAATAGGTATATCCATACAGTCTGCATTTGAATTTCTTTTATTTCCAATTTCAATGCATGTGGCCTTTTCAAGTGAACAAGGAATCCAATCTTTACATATCACTTTGTCATTGACATGTCAAATTCTTGAAGATTGATTGCTGATGCCTTAGTTTAATGCTTGGCCATCTTATTCCAAAAAAGAAAAAAAAATTAATGATTAGCCATGTGTCTGTTTGCAGTGATAGTGGAGAAATGTGTGCAATGAAGGAGGTGACCCTATTTTCGGATGACTCAAAGTCAAAGGAAAGTGCAAAGCAGTTGGCACAGGTAGGTTTATTATGTAGGTAGCAGCCTGCTAGGTCTTATTTCCTTGGACTGCCTGGAGATTTGTATTCCTGATCTGTTCCTGTTTAAGCATCCTCTCATATTCAAGTATTTTGCAGGAGGTTGCGTTGTTGAGCCGATTAAGACATCCAAATATTGTCCAGTATTATGGGTCAGAGATGGTCAGTTTTCAATGGTCAATTGATTTTCTAAATGTTTCAATTTAGAGCTTTTTATTTTAATTTCTGATGAGGGACATGTCATAGTGCCAACACTATTAGCTTTATATTTGAATTTTCTGGTGAAGGACATGTCATTGTGCCAGCACTGTTAGTTATGTTAACAGACTTCAAATTGTTCTAGAGTATTGGTTTCTTATTCTATAGCTGTAACAGCTTACTTCAAAGCTTAGTCATGAGATTAATGAGTACTTTGGCAGAACTAGTGGGCCTTTCTTGCAAGATTTATGTGTTTCTGTCATAAATTCCAATAATCTTTTTAGCTTGCTCTTCATCTGAATTGTTTTCCTCAATCAGGTTCCTGATAAACTTCATATCTACTTGGAATATGTCTCTGGTGGGTCCATTTACAAGCTTTTACAAGAATATGGTCCATTTGGAGAAACAGCAATCCGTAGTTACACTCAGCAAATTCTATCGGGGCTTGCATATTTACATGCTAAAAGCACTGTGCATAGGTAACCCAATTTCTTCGGTTGGATTATTTTGTGAGATCACCCTTTCAGCAGCCTTGACCTGTGTACGCTGATTACCTAATAGCAGCTTCACTTTTGCAGAGATATTAAAGGGGCAAATATTCTTGTTGATCCAAATGGGCGCATAAAGTTGGCAGACTTTGGAATGGCGAAGCATGTAAGTTTAATCACAGGCCTCTAACGGCATTATCTTGTAAGATGATGCCAATGCTATTGAAGATTGTGATTAAGCGGAAATAGCCGGTGACATTTTATCTTCTAACGTGAGACTAGCACTGTCGGATGGATAGAAAAACTGTACTGTCGGATGGATAGAAAAACTGTTCTAGTTTTTAGCTTCATGGCATTAAACTTAATTCCTTATTTTTTGAAAGACAAAAGTAGGATTTGATCCGTTAAGATTTGCATTTGGTGCAATTGTTCCCCACCTGGAATTGTATATCTTCAACATCAAGGCTGCATTTTCAGATGGAGCTCTGTACCATTTCTGAACTGGAATATTTTTTTTTTTGAACTGGAGCTGTGTCATTAATTGCTCAATTACAAATTCGCAGATCACAGGGCAATCTTGTCCATTATCATTCAAAGGAAGTCCTTACTGGATGGCCCCCGAGGTTGGAATATGCTTTAGGCATTTAAATGTTTTGTGTGCACCTCCATTGCTAATACTTATACACTGACTTGTGAAACCATCTCTTTACCATTGGCTCAGGTAATAAAGAACTCCAGTGGCTGCAACCTTGCTGTTGATATATGGAGTCTTGGATGCACTGTCTTAGAAATGGCTACATCAAAGCCTCCTTGGAGCCAGTATGAAGGAGTAAGTAATTTTGGCTTAGAGAAGCTTAATTAGAGCATCTTTTTACTTTTTTCTTTTTCTGAACATTGTTGGAAGATGGGACTTTTTGCTTTCATATAATTTGGACTAGCATGTTTTACAATAGCAGTTCATTCCCTTGACCTGTATTATGTGGTGTTTGATGTCGTATGGGCCAAAGGTTGCTGCCATGTTTAAGATTGGGAACAGTAAAGAACTCCCAGCAATCCCGGAACACCTTTCAGACGAGGGAAAAGATTTTGTGAGGAAGTGTTTACAGCGTGAGCCACGAAGTCGTCCTACTGCTGCTGAGCTATTGGAGCATCCTTTTGTTAAAGATGCTGCCCCTCTGGAAAAGCCAAATATATTTCCTGCATCTTTCAATCCTCCTTGTGCAGCTGCAAATGGGGTAAAACTTCTGGTACATTATCTGTTTATTAGGACATTTGGGAGACTTCTGTTACGAAACAGGAATTCTTGCTCCTCATTATACTTTTGTGCTTTTATGTATTTCTTCTTTTGTTCTTAACCCATAAACAATTGAGCAAAATAAACTGATGGGTCTCGTATTTTCAATAGTCAAGCTTTCATCATTGAGTTCTGCCAACATATTCTCATTAGTCCATCTGGATTCCAATTCATATGCATATCAGTGTATGGAATTCATCTAGTAGTCTATCCTATAGTCATACAGTAAGTTTTTATTTTTATTTTTTAGATAAGGTAATTTTATTTTATTAATAACAAGGTACCAAGAAGGTACTTGAGCATATTACAGTAAGCGTAATTGAGACAGTTGCATGGAAGATATAGAGTAATTTGGACAGTTGCATGGAAGTTATGCAGATTCTTAAAATAAGATTGCTTCTTCTGGAAAGGTAGATGATGTAACTTGAACATTGGTATTGTCAAGGTTTAGGATTGTTTGCTCATACAGCTCACAGCGCCATCTTTTGTGAATATAATTTCTATCTTACTGATCAAAAATGTTTAGGATTGTTTACTCCTGCATGCTGCTCTGTGGCAAATTACGACGTTCAGTTCATTTTGGCTTTTTCTTAGAAGTCAGGTGATAATTTTTGGTCCCAGATTAGAATAGTTTTAGGAATAAAAGACTCAAACCCTGTTAAAGACGTACAACAAATGCTCGATGTGTGAATGTGTGCAAATTGTAATTCCAAGCGAACTTTCCAATTTACAGAACTAATCTTTAACATATTGATGACCAGAACATAATAGGTTGATCTGGCGTGGTTTCTTTATTTTGGAATTCTGTGCCCTTTGATTGATGCTCACTGCTGTGTTCTTTGCGAATTTGTTCTAGGGCATTGGATCTGCAAGAAATTATCCTACGTTGGAATCAGAAAAGCTTGGAATCCACTCATCTAGAGCATCAAGATCTAATTTTCACTGCAGGTCTTTGCTTCTTTTGATTACTTAACCTTTCAAATGCCCTCTACATTGTTGAGAAATTTCTTAAGCGGAAAGGGGTTCCCATTAAATTTGTAATTTTCTCATCTCGATATGCTTGGAGTAAAAAGCTTCATGACAATAGTATTCATACATTTTGATCACTGACTTGTTCTTTATTGTCCAGGGACATCCACATTCCGAAAAACATATCTTGCCCTGTCTCCCCAATTGGTAGCCCTCTTTTACATCCAAGGTCACCTCAAAACCTAAACGGGAGGATGTCTCCCTCGCCTATATCAAGCCCTCTCAATACATCTGGCTCATCAACACCAATCTCTGGAGGTAATGGTGCTATCCCATTTCGTCACATGAATCAGTCAGTTTACTTGCAAGAGGCCAGAACAGTTCCAAGTAGTCCCTATATGAACGGTCCTTCTTACTGGGATCCTGATGCTTTACGAGCGACGCCATTAGGATCTCGTGCTTTCCAAGAATTGGCATCCTTCGAGGATGATGCTCCGGGAAAGCAGTTTGGGAGGCCTGCCACTGGAGAACTTTGCAATGCGCAATCAGCCTTGGCCAATCGGGTGTCCCAGCAACTTTTGAGGGATCATGTGAAATTGATTTATTCAGTAGATCTCAATCCTTGCCCTCCCTTGTCAAGTCGCACGGGTGGAACATGATATGTATTTTCGGACATATTAATGGAGAACTTCAAAGTTTCAGTGTTACTGGGTTTTCTGAGTAAATCTGCTATATCTTGGCATGTTTGAAGGAAGCTGTTTTGCACAATAACGATTTCCTAAGAGGAGAAACTAGGAAATGCAGTGGCAGAACTTCATTATCTATTGTCAGATTGATCAACCTGATTTCCCCCACATGCTCTTTGAGTCTAGTGTTCCAATGATGAAGCACTTCCCAATGAGAATATGTTGACCCTGTCACCAATATCATTTCTCGGCATATAGGGTCTTGTCCAAAGATGTATGCCTGATTAGACTTAACATGAGCCACAGAACTAATGATTCATTTGCTTTTTGAGGTTGGCTTCCAGTTATTCAATGTACAGCTGATCCTTCATCAAGACATTAATGGCACCAAACTTGTATATTTATGCTGTCCCATAGAAGATAGAAAAGAGTAAGCCTGGAACTGAAGCAGGTAGAGTCCTTTTTCTTTTTGCCTTTCCCCTTTCCGAGGGGGGTTCTTGTACAGCAAGCAAACAATGTATTGGAATATTCCAGGTACTGTTGATTGAACAATCAAAGGAAGATATTTGCTTTCTGTAGCTTCAATCTGATGTCTCACTGAGTTAAATATTGTTTTCTATGCACAAGTATTTGTCCCATCTACCTGTATCTGATTTTGCAGATTGCTTAATATAGGCATTGAATTTCAAGTAACTATATATAGTAAGTGTTAAAAAAATAAGGTAAATAACCTTTTTCGGAAGGTTTGTATTGAGTGAGGCGTAGTTTTGTGTATTAAGTTAGGGGTAATTTTGTCATTGCATAGAGCTTATCCACTAACCACCGCGAAGTGGTTATATTAGTTAGCACTGTGTATTCCCAAATATAGTTAATACAGAGATGATATCTTCTCTTCCTTCTCTCTACTTTCTCATTCCACGATCTTCACCAATTTGTTAATTCTTCAATTGCATGCATATGAATCTGAGCTTTTGTGGATAGATCTCAGATTCTATCATGGTATCAGAGCAATCGATTGAGATTTAGGACTAAAATTCCAGTGTTTCAATAGAAAGCCATTGCTGAAGCTGAGCGGCCATGGGAGAAGCAGAAATTCCTCGAATTGATCACAATCATCCTTTGTACTTGAGAGAATCAGACACACCTGGTGTGGCGTTGATCGACATAAAACTCACAGGTCCAGAAAATTATGGTTTGTGGAGTCGAGCTATACGAATGGCACTGTTGGTGAAGAACAAATTAGGGTTCATAGAAGGAACTTGTGTAAAAGGCTCATTCAAAGGCAAATTAGTAAATCAATGAGAAAGATGCAATGTTGTGGTGCTATCGTGGATAGGAAAAACAATGGCGGTGGAATTGCAACCTAGCATCATTTATGCATCAAATGCGGCAAAGGTTTGGAGCGAGTTTAAGGAACGATTTGACAAATCAAATTTAACTCAAACCTTTCGGTTGTGGAAGATGATAGGATCATTAACTCAAGGCACAGATTCAGTCACTGCTTACTACTCCAAAATGAAGGATCTTTGGGATGAAATGGACTTGTTAGTGGCAGGACCTAGGTGTGATTGTGAGGAAACAAGGCCTTTCATTGAACAATTCAAAAATCTGAGACTTTTACAGTTTCTAGTTGGCCTAAATGAAAGTTATAGGCATGTGAGAGCCAAGTGTTACTCAAAACACCTGTGTTGACAGTCAATCAGGCATATGCCTTGGTCATACAAGAAGAGAGCCAAAGAACCCTTGGAACAGGGGAATCTAACAATGAGGCTTTGACCATGCTAGCTGGAAAAAATCAGACATTCAATCAGGGATTCAAGGCAAAGAAACCAGGGTTGATTTGTGAATTTTCCGGCTACAAAGGTCACTTGAAGGAAAACTGTTATAAGATCATAGGGTACCCCCTAGATTTCAAGAGTAAGAAAAAAGTGCAAATACAAGGTGTCAAACCTTATGCTAATGTTGTTGCTGCTGAGGCAGGGAATACATCAAGCACTCAGCCCACACAGGGGAACTTCTTCACGGAGAATCAATACAAGCAGCTACTAAATCTTCTAAACAAACAAGACACAGGTGACTATCACTCGCTTATGGCAGGTATAAATGCATTGTTATCAAATGCCTTTGATTGTGAATGGATATTAGACTCAGGTGCTCGTGCTTCACATCATATTATCTTTCATAAGGAGATCATGAATGATATTAAGGATTGTAGTTCACAGAATAATAGTGGAGTGCAAGTACCAACAGGGAATAAGTGCAAAGTATCCCATATAGGAAGTGTCTCTATACTGGACAATCAAGTTTTGAAGGATGTTTTACATGTTCCTGACTTTAAGTTCAATTTATTGTCTTTTACAAAACTGACCAAGGAACTGAGTTGTATTGCAATGTTCTTCTCTGACTTCTGTGTGTTGCAGGGTCTTTACAATGGGAAGGTGATGGGGATTAGTAAGGAATCATGTGGACTGTACTTTTGCAGAGGAGATCAATACCTACAACAACAATGGTCAGCAATAGTTCAAATAACTCGGCCCTATGGCACATGAGACTAGGACACCCTTTAATAAAAGCAATGCAGCATATCCAACAGTTGAGAAACTCTGTGGACAGTAGAGTGCAACATAATTGTGATATATGCCCCTTGGCTAAGCAGAGCAGGCTAAAATTTCCATCTAGTAGTAATAATGCTGTTATTATTTTCCAGCTTATTCATGTAGATGTATGGGGACCTCATAGAATACCTACATGTGACAGGAAACACTACTTTGTTACAGTGGTAGATGATTACAGTAGATTCACTTGGGTATGTTTGTTGCAATCAAAGAGTGAAGTAATAGTTGTATTGAAGAGCTTCTTTTCAATGGTTAAAAACCAATTTGGTGTGACTGTCAAAACATTGAGATTTGACAATGGCACTGAATTCTTTAATTCTGGCTACAATGAATTGTTTTCTTCATTAGGAATTGTTCATCAGAGTAGTTGTCCCTACACACCTCAACAGAATGGGGTAGTAGAGAGGAAGCGTAGACACATTCTGGAAATAGCTAGAGCCTTAAAGTTCCAAAGTTCAATTCCTAACAGGTTTTGTGGAGAGTGTGTAAAGACTGCTGTGTATCTGCTTAACAAATGGCCTACTTCTGTTTTAAAAGGAAAGTCACCTCATGAGATTTTATACAATAAACCACCTGACATAAATCACCTTAGGGTATTTGGTTGTCTCTGTTATGCTAGTAACCTCCCAAAAGGAGATAAATTTAGTCCAAGAGCAAACAGAAGTGGATACTCAACAACTCAAAATAGCTACAGGCTTTATGATCTAGAAAGGAAGGTCTTTCTGGTCAGCAGGGATGTTAGCTTTAGGGAGGGTGTGTTTCCATTCAAGAATGTTGAACTGGATTCTGCTGAGTTATTTCTCAAACAGCCAGAGCTGGTAGTACAATCAGCTCAGCCTAGTATTGAAACAAGAATCAACAAGTCAACTTGATGATGATGATGCTCAACAACAAGTGACACATGCTGAAATTGCCAGAAGCTCATGAGAATCAAATTGCTCTATCACCTGATGCAGTTTCAAGAGAAACATTGGCACCAGTTACAGACACTCCACAAGATACTTTAAGTGACATAGCAATGCCACCACAGCCATAAGAAACTTCCACTCAATAACCATCGGTTCAAGAAATAGCCCATGATATTAGAAAAGGAGGAAGAATATCGAAACCTCCCATTTGGCTAAAGGATTATGTGACAACAAAAAGTACTGCCACCCAGTGCCTTTATCCATTGTCAAAGAGCTATACTATGGGAATCTAACAACAAGATACCAGTCCTATTTGAAGGCTTTTTCAGCTTGCATTGAACCTAACTCTTTTAAGGAGGCAGTTCAGGATGACAGATGGGTTGAAGCCATGCATCAGGAGATACAAGCACTTGAAGATAATGAGACTTGGGAACTGGTTAATTTACCTTTAGGCAAGCAAGGCATTGGATCTAAATGGGTCTACAAAGTCAAATACAAAGCAAATGGAGAAGTAGAAAGATTCAAGGTCGTTTGTTTGCCAAAGGATATAATCAAAAGAAAGGGCTTGATTATCATGATACTTTTTTACCTGTTGCCAAAATGGCCGCAGTGAGACTTGTTATCAGTATAGCCACTTCCAAAGGTTGGCCTTTGTACCAAATGTACATTAATAATGCCTTTCTATAAGGTGATTTATATGAAGAAGTTTATATGAGTTTACCCCAAGGGTTTACCAAACAGGGGGAGACCAAAGTGTGTAGACTTCTGAAATCCTTGTATGGGCTCAAACAAGCCTCCAGACAATGGAATATTAAGCTTACTGAAGGTTTGGCAGAGAGTGGATATAATCAAAGTGCATTGGATCACTCTTTATTGACCAAAAACAAGGAGATGGTTTAGTAGTCATCCTCATCTATGTGGATGATTTGCTGATTACTGGTAGTCATCCAACAATCCAACACTGATAGAAGATGCAAAAATGACCCTACACAATCGATTTAAGGTAAAGGACCTTGGAGAGTTGAGATACTCTTTTGGAATTGAAGTGCTGAGATCCAAAAAGGGATCATTGCTTAATCAAAGAAAGTACGCCTTGGATCTTATTTCTCAAGTTGGTTTGAGTGATATAAACCTGCTAAGACAACTTTGGAACTTAATCAAAAGTTACCACTGTTGATTATGATGCTCATGTAGGAAACACTGATGATTTAGAACTTGAAGATGCCACAATATATCAGCAGTTAATTGGAAAGCTCCTGTACCTCAACATCACTAGACCAGACATTAGCTTTGCATTTCAGAGTTTAAGCCAGTTCATACAGAGGGCTAAACAATCACACTTGGAGGCAGCCTTTAGAGTGGTTAAATATCTCAAAGGTTGTCCTGGCTTGGGTGTGTTATTGCCAACTGGTCCTATCACTAATTTGTCTGCCTATTGTGACTCAGATTGAGCCTCCTGCCCTAACACAAGGAGGTCAGTCACTGGATATGTTGTCAAGTTAGGTGAGGCACTCATTTCTTGGAAGTCTAAGAAGCAGCATACTGTTAGTAGAAGCTCCGCAGAAGCTGAATATAGGAGCATGGCAGCAGCAATAGCTGAAGTTACTTGGGTTGTTGGTCTGTTACAGGAGTTGGGACTCACTATATCCCAACATGTGTACTTGTTCTGCGACAACAAGGCAACTATCTATAATTGCTAGCAATCCCATTTTCCACGAGCACACCAAACACATCAAGCTTGATTGTCATTTTGTGCGCGAAAAGATCAAGTATGGGCTTATTCTTCCTCATCATGTTTCCTCTGCTCAACAGCTTGCCGACCTACTGACCAAAGGCTTACCTACTACTGCTCAACATCAACTTCTCTTATCCAAGCTTGGCGTGTCTGATGTCTTTCACCCACCAGCTTGAGGGGAGTATTGAGTGAGGGGTAGTTTAGTGTATTAAGTAAGGGGTAATTTTGTCATTTCACGGAGCTTCTCCACTAACCATCGTGAAGTGGTTATACTAGTTGGCACTGTGTATTCCCAAATATAGTTAATACAGAGATGATATCTTCTCC